AGAGCAAGTTCAGGACTACACAGAGAAACCCTGCCTTGAAAAACAACAAGAAGAAGTCCTGAAATTAGGGCCTGTAAGATGGCTCATTTGTGAAGGTAGCCACCATTCTGACAACTTCAATTCAACCCCCAGGACCCATGTGCTAGAACTAAGTCTTACATGTTGTCCTCTGATCCCACATGTATGCACACACATAAATGCATCTAATTCTTAGGAGGAATACTGGAATTAAAGCTTTGTTGATGTTAACAGCGGTCTGCAGTCCAGTTTACAAAATATATATGAAATATTCCTTTTACTTATCACATAAAGCAAAGTATCATAAATGCCCAACTTTTCTTTCTACATACATTTTTCTTCCTCAAGCACTACAATAGCTTAATATGGTTAATCCACTCATCTTCATGAGAGGAGGAAGCCAAGGTTGATCAAGTTATTAAGCTGTATAAGCAAGCTGGCATGAAGAGTTGGCACAAATAGGAAGTGATTACATCTAAGTCTGATCTTAAATTTCGAGGGCTTAGCAATTCCTCTTCCCCAATTTAGTTCACATAACAAGCCAAGAAATTACCAGATGTTTGTCCAGATTATTACTAAAGTGCATCCAACTTTGAGATTCTTGACTTGCAGAATCACTAAGACATCACACACCTTTAGGGGTTACCTACTGTGTCTTTTTATTTTAGTGGTTTCGTTTTAATAGTCTTTGAAAACAAGGAACAACTGCAATATGCATATTGTAACTGAATACAGCCATACAATCCTGGTGCCAAAATTTCTGGCTTGTATAGGCACTTAATGAACAAATAAAGTAGAATACACTAGAAAAGGCTGAAGCCCCAGGAATCTTTGCAAGAGCGAGGGGTGGAGGCAGGCATCTGTAATCTCAGCAATGGGGAAACTGAAGCAAGAGACTAGGGAGCTTTCGGCTACACAACAAGATCATATCTCAGAATGAAAAGAAAACAATCCGCTCAAGAGCACAGCGGTTCATCAAGTGTTCTATGTGGACTGCATTAACACAGACCTTACTAAGCACCTAACTGGCCAGCAGTACGAGGGCAAACACGTAAGCTAGGCCTGCTGCTAGTTCCAAGTCCATTACTTAGTTAACCACTTCAAAAGCTGCAATGGAAACTTTTTCTTGCAATGCAAATCTTTCCAAAAAACAAGTTTGGGGCAGGACACAGTGGCCCACACTTTAATTCGGCACTCTGGAAGCAGAGAAAAGCGTATCTCTAGGAGTCTGAGGCCAGCCTGGTCTACACAGTGAGTTCTGGGCAAGGCAAGGCTACACACACAGTGAGCCCTTGCTACAAACTTTCAGTCAACATAAATGTTCCCCATTTTGTAAGATTTTTAGTTTTTATTTATTGTGCATGGGTGTTTTGCCCTCATGTTGTCTGCACACCACACATATGTAGTACCCGTGGAGGCAGAGGGTGCTGGGTGCTCGGCTGTGAATCGCCATGCGGGGTACTGGGAACTAAGGAGACCCAGGCCCTCCACAGAGCAACAGTGCTCCTAACTGCTGCTCTGAACTTTGCAGATCCTACTCTTACCCACTTTGGAAAGTACAATTCAACTGTCTTTAGTATACCCATAGTTGTGCAATCACATACACAATCAGTTTTGTTTGTGGGAGTGTGTTTTTTTTTTGGGGGGGGGGGGAGGTTCAGACAAGCTCTTGCATAGCCCTGGCTGTTCTGGAACTCTCTATTTCTGAGGCTGGCCTTCAACTTCTGGTCCCATCTGCTTAGATCTCCCAGTACTAAGATTAAAGGTGTGTACCACCATGCTTGGCTAATTTTACATTTTCCCAAAAGAAACCCTGAAATCACCAGCCACTTCTAAAGTACTCATTACTAGGAGTTTGAAAGGCCCCATACAAGTTTCCCTGTGAGCACATAAGAAGCGATGGCTAAACATTCAGAGGGTAAGAAACATGACGAAAGACACCCAATTCCCTGCCCCTCTACTCTGGACTTTTCTTCTGACTTCCAAACCTTCACTATCAGTTACTTGCTGAGTAATTCCACATATATATCCATCAGCGATTCAAACCAAACCACATCCAAACCCAGATTATCACCTCCCTACCAAACCTGTTCTTCTTGAATTAACCCTTTTATTTATTGCCCAATCTTCTTCCCACTCGGCTGCAAATTCTATCTAGCAGTCTCTCTCATTCTTCATATTTAAATAATCCCAGCCATTAATGAATTCCCCAAATCATTTACTCCTCCTGTGATACAGTTTAGATTTCTCGGTATCTTTCAACTACACTATTAATATAGGCTTCTAACAGGTTACCTTGCCTTTAAAAGTTTCCCTTTCCTCAGGGCAGAGGTGGCACATGCCTTTAATGCCAGCACTGGGGAGGCAGAGGCAAGCAATCTCTGTGCATTTCAGGCTCGACTGGTCTACAGAGCAAGTTCCAGGAGAGTCAGGATTACACAGAGAAACCCTGTGTCGAAAATCCAAAACTAAAATAAAAATACTCCTTGCAATCTATCTTTTACCCAAACACTCATTTTCCCCTCAAAATACAAGAATGTTTGTCATCCCTTATACTCAAAGTTTAGCGTCGCAGAATAATGGTCAAACCTCTACACTAATACACTCCCCCCAAAAACTAGAAATTGCAAAATTTTCCCCAAATTTGACACCTACAAGATCAAGACTTAAATAAAAACTTACATCTTCTGATGCTCGGTTGCCCTGTATTCTGCTATACACTACGATAACACAAAGTGTAATTTCTCGGGGCCAAACACCAAGAATTGTCCGTCTTCAAAATATTTTTTCTTCTCTTTGCATATTTTACACTGGCCCCTGTGCCAACGTAAAAGTATGAACTCTGAATCCCATCTCAATATTTAACTCCCAAGTACATTTCAGAGCCTCATGCGCAAGGGGGATAAAGTTTAATAAACTAATTGGATCTTCTTCTGAGAAACTTCAGAGGACGAAATTCAATGAGCAAAACACAGCCAGGCTACCAGCACTCGCTGCCCACACACGGGCCTGAAGCGTCAGGTAGAGGAGATGCCAGACGTCCAGCCCTGGTCCTCAGGCGTCCCCCTTCCAGACCTAGGGAGTGAGGGGACGCCGGAAAGGGAAGCGGTCGCTCTGGGTGAAACCCCGGCCGGGCACCGCTGGCCAGCCTTCCCGCCAGCACAAAGGCCTCGGTGCAAGGAAGGCCCGAAGGTCCGCGGACAGGCCCGGCTGCGGGTGCAGTCCGGCGCCTCCGCCCATGGGACTCGCTGACTCCGGGTTTTTGGGTGCAATTGGCTTCCAAGCACCCACTCGCAAAAACAAGCAGAGGAGCCAAGACAGCGCGCCCCAGATCCTGGAGGCGTAGGGCCGAAGCCGCGGGGTGTCGGACCGGTCGCTCTCAGCCCGCCAGACGCCGGGGGGGGGGGGGGGGGGGGGGGAGCTAAAGTGGGGGGGCTTCCTTGTACCCTTAGGGGCGAACTCGGCTGCAGAACCCCAAACCCGGCCGTGGGCTCCTTTCTCTCCGGAACCACCTAGAGAAGCGCTGTGGCCAGTCCCAGCCAGGGGCTCACCTTCCAGTCCAGGGCAGCTGGCCGTCCGGCAGTCAGTCCCGAATTCCGTCCACACACGGCGTCTTCCGGCTCCCGCCGGAAGCAGCTCCCGAGCGGGACAGGAAGTTTGGCCACCCCCCCCCCCCCACTAGCACACCCACTGGCTTTCTTCTCCGCCCCGCGGGTGTTGCTCGGGTCGAGGTGCTGACCCTCGGGCAGCTGCTTGGGCCGTCCTCTCCGTCCCCTCAGAGCCACACTGGGCTCCGGCCGGTGGAACCGCAGCACCCCGCCCCCTGCCCTCCAGGACTCCCGGGTCCCGAAGTCTGAAACCAGGTCAGTGCCTTCTAGCCGTGACGTCACCGCCTTCCCGCTAGGTGGCTGTGTGCCGCCGCGGTGGGTGTGCAGCTTTCCCCCGCAGCTGCGGAGTTATGACAGTTAACGAGAAACACCAAAACTCTCCATGAAGAGGACCCAAGGAGGGACCTGCACAATCAAGCCCTGCAGTGTCCATTGGACTGGGTATGAATTTAGGCATATATACAGCTGTGGGAACGTTTAAGAATCTTGGCTGTCCTGACTGAGGGCTAAAATAACAGAGTTCCATGGTGAATAATAGTACTTGATGGAACTTTTGAGTTTGACTACGTGAAATGTAAAGACCTGGCATGGTAGCACAGTCCTGTAATCAATCCCAGCGCTCCCAGCACTCGGAGTTCCAGGCCACCTAGGGCTATACAGTGAGACCCTGTCAAAACCAAAATAACAAGAAAAAAACATGATGTGGTTCGCAAGAGTGGGGGATTAAAGGCAGTGCCCATGAGAATTAATGTTCTCTTAAGGCGTTTATTTTCATGTTTAGAGATAAACTAGGAGCCTAAACAAGCTAGGGATTAGTAGATTGGGTACAAAACAAAACATTCCAGGCCATCTGGGTGGAAATAATTCCTTGGTACACAGTTCCATGCTGTGTACCCAGTTGAGGATTGCTGTGGCAAGGATAACTGGGCTACATAGCATCTGAAAAGAAACCTTGGGATGGCAAGGAAATGTTTACTAGGAGCTAAAGTCCTAAAGTTTAAGTAAGAATTTAAAAAAAACCTAGCGGTGGTGGCACCCACCTTTATTCCCAGCAGAGGCAGGCAGGCAGATCTCTGTGAGTCTGAGGCCAGCCTGGTCTACAAGAGCTAGCTCCAGGACAGTTAGGGCTATTACACAGAGAAACCCTGTCCCAAAAAACCCAACCCCAAACAAAACAAAAAACAAAGTAGATTTGGGAGTTACCAACATATGAAGAATGAAGAACCCTCCAGAAAGAAACTGGTCTAGAGCAAGTATATAAAACAAGGTTAGACCAGTGCAAAACTGGACTGAGTGATTACTAATACAGTTTGAATGTATTTATTACAAGTGTCACCTATAAAATACATTGGCTGTGTAAAAAAGTGTCTTAAATCACACTTAGAAAACATCTTCAATTTTACTTTTCTAAAGGTTGAGTTACAATTAATAAAAACATCAATATATGTAGAATATACATGTCTACAACCATTGGTTAGTTTACTTTGTCCTATCATTTTCTGAAGCTTTTTTTTTTTTTTTTTTTTTGGTTTTTCGAGACCGGGTTTCTCTGTAGCTTTTGGAGCCTGTCCTGGAACTAGCTCTTGCAGACCAGGCTGGCCTTGCACTCACAGAGATCCGCCTGCCTCTGCTTCCCGAGTGCTAGGATTAAAGGTGTGTGCCACCACCACCACTATTTTCTGAAGCTTTTTTACTTGGGGCGAGTTGGGAGTGGGGGTTGCTATTGGGAATTAAGGCCCCCTGAACAGTGTTCTGCCTTGATCACTCCCCCAACCCATTTTAATCACTAAAATTCCAAGTGATGTTTATATCTACTTGCCCTCCAAAGTTTCCCAAAGTACAGGCCTTTACCACTCGCACTCCAGAGGTCAACAGGCAGCTAGAGATCTGTAAATTCCAGGGCAGCCTGAATTACATAGCAAGCTACATAACAGACTGTCTCAAAAATATTCCTAAAGTTAACACAAGCTTTGTTAGGCTTGCTACGTAGTCAGTAATTTGGGAGAACACAGCCTGCTGGGTGAAAATCTGGTCTATTGAGCTCTCATCAACCCAGCTGACGTTATTTATCTCTTCATACCACTCCCAACCCAAAACTTCTCTTCAACCCCTAAACTGTTCCTCAATCTGATACTCCCAATGCTGCCCCCAACCCTACGTGCTTATGCCATTAAAAGCCTCTCTTTGGGCAGGCTGGGGAGATAGCTCAGCAGCTGCTCTACCAGAGGACCTGCATTCAAGAACCCAGCACCTACATGGTGGCTCAAAACTCTCTCCAGTGCTCTATTTGCCTCTGCAGGCATCAGGCATGCATGTGGTGTACAGACAGACAAGACACATAGGTACATAGAGACTTTTAAAGTCTCTCTTCCGCGTGAAATATGGAAAGCCTATCTCAATCCTAATACTCTCACTTTAAGAATAATGTTAAAAATTTCCCCAGTTCAACAGATGTTAACCGCTTCTGACCTTAGAATTAGAGTTTTCACTCAGTTTTAAAAATAACTTAAAGATATGTCTACATATGATCAATTAACAGTTGTATTAACTATCCAAGAGTTTTTAAATATTTGATACAAATATATGTAACATGAGTTTTAACAAACAAAATTAGCCAAGTATAGTGAGTAACACATGCCTGGAACCCCAGAGATAATTGGCAGTGGGAAACCTGAGGAATCAGTCCAGCCTGAGCTACACTAACAGACCCATCTCCAAAATAATTATTATTACTAGTTATTATTACAAGGAAAATAAGTCAGGTATAGTGGGACATGCCTGTGATCCCAGCACTCAGGAGACAGGCCACAAGAATCACAAGTACGAGGCCAGTGTGGACTTTGTATTTGAGACCCTGTCTCGAAAATAAAATAGAGAAGAACAGATGATACCAAACCTATTGTGGCAGTGCTTCTCACCCTTCCTGATGCTGCGACCTTTAACACAGTTCCTCATGTTGTGGGGACCACAACCATAAAATTATTTCATTGCAACTTCATAACTAATTTTGCTACTGTTATGAATTGTAATGTAAATATCCGATATGCAGGATATCTGGTAGTGACTCCAAAGGGGTCACAACCCACAGGTTGAGAACCATTGTATTATGGTTAACAATCACATGTTAGATATATAGTTAATATATGATATTGAAAATAAGGTTATGTTACTAAAAATATTACAATTACACTTAAGTCTGTACTGTAAGATTATTTTTTAAATGTGTCTTAAGAATCTTAGTGCACAGTAGGAAATGTAGGGCTTCCTTGATGAAGATAACGCAGACTACAGAGAAGACTCTTCTGAAATGCAGACGATCTGCTTCCCGATGTTGCCTCCGGTCATCATGGACTGGAACGCAACTGAAAAAAAAGAATAGGTCATCTGAAAAGAGAAATGTTCCTATATGTTTGTTAGAGGTCTAACACATAAAATTAGTTTGAATAATTTCTTCAGTGATTTTTCTGCCTTTTGTTTATTTGTTTTTTGTTGTTTTGAGACAGGGTTTCTCTCTGTAGATCAGATGGTCTCGAACTCACAGAGATCCACTGCCTCTGCCTCCTGAGTGCTGGGATTAAAGGTACGTGCCACCACTGCCCTGGCAAAAAAATAAATCTAAAAAGAAAAATCACTGGGTCAGGTGGTGGTGGTGCACGCCTTTAATCCCAGCACTCAGGAGGCAGAGAGAGGCAGGTGGATCTCTGTGAGTTTGGGGGTAGCATGGTCTGCAGGGTGAGTTCCAGAACAGAACACATAGAAACACTGGCCCAAGTATATATATATAAATAAATCTAGGCCTGGGGAAACAGCTTAGTGGCTAAGAGTCTTGTTGCTCTTGCAGAGGAAACAGGCTCAGTTCCCAGCACTCATGTGGTGGCTCGCACATCCCTATGAATACCAGGCATGCATTTAGTGTACAAACATGCAGGCAGGCAAGACACACACACAAGAGACTTATTTTATTTGTATAAGTGTTTTGCCTGCTGCACGTATGTAAGTGTACAACATGTGTATGGTGCCAATAGAGACCCAAAGAGGGCTCTGGATCACCTAGAACTGGTTATGAACTGCCATGTAGGTGTCAGGATCTGAACCCCGATTCTCTGAAAGAGCAGCAAATGCTTATAACCAATGAGTCATCTCTTCATAATTTTTGTGGGTTTTTTTGTTTTGTTTTGGTGTGTTTTTTGTTTCTCAAGACAGGGTTTCGGGCTGGAGAGATGGCTCAGTGGTTGAGAGCATTGCCTGCTCTTCCAGAGGTCCTGAGTTCGATTCCCGGCAACCACATGGTGGCTCACAACCATCTGTAAGGAGGTCTGGCGCCCTCTTCTGGCCTTCAGGAATACACACAGAATATTGTATACATAATAAATAAATAAATATTAAAAAAAAAAAAAAGACAGGGTTTCTCTGTAGCTTTGGAGCCTGTCCTGGCACTAGCTCTTGTAGACCAGGCTGGCCTCGAACTCACAGAGATCCACCTGCCTCTGCCTCCTGAGTGCTGGGATTAAAGGCGTACACACCACCACCCAGTTTATTTATTTTTATATTAATTTATATTTGAAACAGTCTCATTAGCTGAGAAGGCCCTTGAGTTGATTGTATTGCTTCTACCATCTGAGTTCTGGGGTTATAGTGGTTGCTAATACGCATGATTTGTGTATCATTTATGGTAGACAAGCTCTCTACCCACTGTATCCTCAGCCTCAGCAATAAGTAAGATGAGTGTGGTGGCAAATTCTTGTAATTCCAACACTTGGGAGGTCAGGAATTTAAGGTCAGCCTCAGTCACCTATCAAATTCAGAGCCAACCAGGGCTACACAAGACCCAGACTCAGAAAAGCTCTGCTACATCCCCATTCTCCCTGTAAAAAAAGAGAAACAAAACAAAGCCAAGAAAAGAAGACGTAGCTCAGCCTTGGCTATGCACAAGGTTCCATCACCACATAAACAAAAGCACAGTCTTTGTGTTAACACAGCTCTGCGGTGTCTCCACAAAGAAAAGGGGTGGGGAGCTAGGGTTTAGCACAGTGGTAAAGTGTGTTTAGCATGAAAGAGGCCATAGGTTCATTCTCTAGAACATAAAAAGAAAAAAATACCTGAAAGTAGCATTAAAAGAAAAATCAATACATGCATTGAGCACATACGTAGAAGAAATCTTCACTCATCTTACCTCCCATGTTTTCCAATCCATTTATCACAGTCTCTTTGATCTGTAATCAAAAATAGTTAGATTTAGAGTCAATGGTTTCCATAAAAGGAAACAATGCAATTTAGGATTTTGCATACAGTATAAAAATGGATAGCACCATTTTTCAGTAAAATCCTAATCCTATATTCCTGTTGTCTGATTGCTTTAAAAAAATTATACATTTATTTGTTTTGTGGGTGAATGCACATGTCGTAGCATGCATGTGGAAGTCAGAGGACAACTGGTACTCGTTCTATAGACAAGGCTAGCCTACTGATTGGTTTAAAGGCATAAACTACCATGCCCAAATCAGTTCTTACTACTTTTCTACCACATGGGTTCTGCGGATCAAACTCAGTTCATCCACTAGGCAGCAAGTGTCCACATTCACCGAGCCATCTCATTGCTGCCCCACACTAATCTTAAACAAACTATACAGGCAATTTAGCTGAAAATGATTTTGAATTTATGACCCTCTTCTGCCTCCACCTTCCAAGTACTGGGATGACAGGCCTTGCCACTACACCCAGTTTTGTTTTGTTTTTTCCCCCTCCTGGGGTGGACTAGTCTTCATGCAGGCTAAGCAAACACTCTACCAAGTTACACCCTCTAGGAAAAAAATTATCTAAGTGTATATACACATATACAAGTTTGCCTATCATTTTCAGGTTTAAAGAACATCTTATCTGGATACCAGATAAATAATTTCTAATTTCAGGCAGTGGTGGCACATGCTCTTAATCCCAGTCCTTGGGCAGGTGGCAGAAGCAGGTGGATCTCTGAGTTCAAGACCAGCCTGGTCTACAGAGTGAGTTCCAGGACAGCTAAAGCGACACAGAGAACTGTCTTCATAACAAAACAAAAAAACTTCTAATTTTGCCCAACAACTAAAATCAGAATAACCATAAAGGAAATGAATATTAAAAGGATATTTACTTAAATCTATAAAAATTATAAGGAAATAGATTATATTAAGCTGAAGTAACGTAATTGTACTACTGAGTTTACAACTGCTTTCTGTACTTTCTAAAATGTAGTATTAACTCATTCTAGTTACATAAAATTTAACCAATTCTCATTTTAAAAATATCCACAGAACATTCTGGTATGTGCTTATGTGACTTTTAAGAGAGCACAATTTCTGGGACTAGAGAGATGGCTCATCAGTTAAGAGCACTAGCTGCTCTTTCGGAGGACCCAGGTTCAATTCCCAGCACCCAGATGGCGGCTCACAACTACTTGTAACTCCAGTTCCAGGGTATCTGACACTCTCTTCAGTCCTCTGTGAGAACCAGGGCAAGCAAGTGGTATACAAAAATTTTTGTAGACAGAACATCCAGAAATAGCATGAAAAAAGAAATCAGAATTCCTCAGTACAGTTCCACAAATACTTGTTAAATTAATGAACATTACAAATTTAGATTTCAGGAGACATACCTATTGACTCTGTAACTAGTCTATGGAGAATAAAGCTTAGTAATTGTTTAGCTTTATTTTATCTGTGTTTTGCCTGCATGCACAGATGTATGTACATGTATGCACCACTGTGTGCCTGGTGCCCTGGGAGGCCAGAAGAGGTTACTGGATCCCCTGGAACTGGAGTTATGGACAACTTGTAGCAGCCATGTCAGTGCTGAGAACCAAATCAGGTCTTCTGCAAAAGTAGTAAGTGTTCTTAATCACAGGAGCCTCTACAGCCCTGAGCTTAACAAAATGTTGCATAAAGCTAATAACAGTGTTTCTCGATCAGAAGATTATGGTCATCTGGGAGGAAATTATATTCAGAGATTAACTTTTTAAACTATGTGTCTATGTGTGTGTCTCTGTGGAGTATGTGCGTGTGAGCAGTTACTTAGGCGGTTCAGAGAGGGTCACAGAGCCCCTGGAGCTGCAGTTGCAGTCAGTTGTGAGCAGCCTGACATACAAGTCGGAAAACAAACTTGGGTTCTCTGCAGGAGCAATGTGCTCTTAACCACTGAGCCAATTCTCTAGCCAATCTTTTGTAGGAATCTTTTGTAATGAAACCAATGTTTGCTATAGTAAATTCAAAAAAAAGAATGCCAAATGGCAGCAGAAATATACTTTTATTGTTAATAGAAATTTGGATTGGGGATGTGACTCAGTTGGTAGAGTACTTGGTTAGTTTTGGGTTCAAGCCCAGCACCACATAAACTGGGCACGGTAGAGCATGCCTAGAATTGTAGCACCAATGAGGCAGAGAGATAGGGGATTAAGGGTTCAAGGTAATTGTCAAGTTCAGACCCAGCCTGGGCCACAGGAGACCTGGTTTCAAAAAACAAAAGAGGGTTTACCTTTAGCTTTCCTTCTTTAAACCACTGACTCAGCTGGAGAAGTCCAGGCTGAAACTTATCTTTATAGTTTAGCACGGTAAATCTCTCTCTGTAAACAGAGAAGGAAAGAATAATGATTAGAGAATATTTCAAGAGTGAGAACCCGAGGGCAGTGGTGGCACAGGCCTTTAGTGGGAGGCGGAGGCAGGCACATCTCTGAGTACAAGGCCAGTCTGGTCTATAAAGAGTATTCTAGAATAGTCAGGGCTGTTAAACAGAGAAACAAACAAATGAACACAATCAAATCTTTCAAATTGGTAATCCCTTTTGTCTTTAAACTAGCCTCAAACCATGCCGAGTCTGGTCAGATTCAGCTTTAGGTGTAGTGAAGGAATAAGTACAGCAAACTTTGTTTATATCTGCTTATCATCTATAACCCTGGCAACAGCATTGTGATTTTTCATTTATAGATAACATTCCTTCCTAGCCTCACATGATCTCATCCAATCAAAGCCAAGTATCTATTTTCTGAGAAACAGTTAACCAAAATTTAATTATTGAACCTCTTTAAATACTTTTCAGTCAGGCGGTGGTGGCGCACGCCTTTAATCCCAGCACTTGGGAGGCAGAGGCAGGCGGATCTCTGTGACTTTGAGGTCAGACTGATCTACAGAGTAAGTTCCAGGACAACTAGGGCTGTGAAACCCTGTCTCGAAAATCAAAAACGAAACAAAAAACAACAAAAAATTTTCAATTATATTTAATAAGGAAAAAAACTATAAATGAATACATTTCCCACCTATGAAATTCATCTCCACAACCCCAGCCCCTGTGACAGCGTAGTAAGGGAAAGGTCGTGCACACACCTTGTGATGTTTCTTTCCTTCTGGATTGCTTCTGCAGCAGGGGACAGTGGAGGAGGGTAAGGCACATCCTTATTGTACTGAGAAATTTGACCACACAGGATGATGTGGCTGTTCCGATTCATCTGCACAGAGAAACACTGACAGTTACACCCTCAGCCACCTTCCTATTGATGGATTTAGGACTACATCAATGAAAGCTATTTAACTACCAGACTTAAACTTTTTTCAATTAGTTTCATTTATTTGGAGATTTACCTATGTAGAAGTACTTTTTATTTATTTGTGTATGTGCACACGCATGCACATACATCCATAAACTTTATGTTCACCACATGCATGCAGGTGCCTGTGGAGGCTAGGAGAGGGCCTTCGATCTCCCTAGATCTGGAGTTACAGATGGTTTTCAGCTGCTTGATGTAGGTACCAGGTTCCAAACTCAGTCACTCACAAGAGCTGTAAGAACTCTAAGTGCTGAGCCATCTCTCTAGCCCCTACAGATTTTATTAAGTCCACTCTGAAGGAATGTAGAATAAAAGTTTGCTGATCACCAAAAGAATTACATTAGTTGCCAGTGACCTTGCTGCTTTTTTGTACTATGTTCATTTTATTTATTTGTTTGTTTGGTTTTGGTTTTTCGAGACAGGGTTTCTCTGCAGCTTTGGAGCCTATCCTGTAAAAACTAGCTCTTGTAGGTCAGGCTGGCCTCGAACTCACAGAAATTCATCTGCCTCTGTCTATCAAGTGCTTGGATTATAGGTGTGTGCCACCACTGCCTGGCTAGTATGTCTATTTTTTTAAAGCTTTTTTTTTATATGTATATGTGTGGGTCTGTAAATCTGTATAGGTGCTGTAACAGGTCCCCAGACCTTAGCAGGTCCCGAGACTTTACCACAGCTGACTCCATGATGGAAGTAACATTTAGGCTGTTAAACTCCGCACTTTGACAGCCCCACCTGCCAAAACAAAAGCCCAATCCATCAAAGTCCATAGTTCTGGGAAAGCCTAAATGTATTAACCTTGCTTTTTGGCTTCTGTAGTTCTGCTTCTGATTAACTGTTCTTGTTACCTGAAGTATGTCAACCCAGGATATGGTTTTTGTGCTTAAAAGCTCACCCTGAAAAAGGCTTGAGGCTACACTGGGACCCAAACATGGGCCATCTAATAAAGACTTTCTATTGGCTTAAACCCATGTTCAAGTAGTCTTCTCTGGTGGACACCCCACAACTGACACATCCACGTAAGTGCCAGCTCTCCCTGGAGCTTGAGATACAGGTAGTTTGAGCTGCCTGACATGGATGCTCACACAGATTCAAACCCAGGTCCTCTGCAAGACCAGTACACACTCTTAACCACTGAACCATCTCTCCAGCCCGACCATGTATTTCTTTAGATTTAAATAATATAATCTCAACTGCAAGCAATTTTACATATAGTCAATATCTATTTATTTTTATTATCAACTGTTGATATTTTACCACACTGTCAATAAAAATATATAACATTGATAATCTATGAAAACCATCTCCCTACCAACTCAGGGGTTATGGCTGTTAGGTGATTGGTGGTTGGTGAGATACAGGACAGAATCTCAGTATTCCAGAAGTGTAACTCTTAATTTTTCACAAAAGTAAACTGAAGGTGAAAATATATCACAAGGCAGGAACTGAAATTCAGAACACAAATGTGGAATAAAATGAAAGCAAGTGTCAAGATCTTCTGTATAACTTAAACACAATAATCATGGAATTTGTCAAAATGAACACTACACTTTTATAGCTTCCCTCAGTATCAAGCAAAAATATCACAATGAATAAAATAAAGTATTGGATCTATAACGGAATGAAACCAGCAAACCACCTGGCTTATCACCGTATCACTGATGTCACCACCAACATTGTCAAAGTAGATATCCACTCCAGTTGGGCACGATTCTTGGAGCTGTGCCGCCACATTCCCATTTTTATAGTTAATTGCAGCATCAAACCCCAGTTCTGAAGTCAAAAAGAGGCATTTCTCATGCGTTCCACAAATTCCCACCACTCTGGAACAGCCAAGCAGGTGGCCAATCTAGGGAGGAAGTGTTTGAAAATTAAATGGCTTTATATTCACACAAACATAAAAATGTCAAAGAACACAAGATATTGCAAGTACAAGAGAATATTTGCCCTGGCTAATTTTCATGTCAACTTGAAACAAACTAGCATCATCTGAGAGGCGGGAACTTCAACTGAGAAAATGCCTCCATAAAATCTGACTGTAGGCAAGCCTGTAGTGGCATTTCTTTAGTGTTTGAAGTGGAAGGGCCCATTCCGTTGTGGGTGGTGCTACCCCTGGGCTGGTGGATCTGGAGTTGATTAAAAAGGCAGTCAATAGTAGTCCTCAGCTCCTGTCTCTGGGTCCCTGCCATGACTTCCCCCAGTAATGAACTGTTCCCTTGAAGTATAAGAATAGACCCTTTCCTCCCCGAGTGACTTTTGGTCGTGATGTTCCATCACATCCAGATTCACCCTAAGGCAGCACTCTGAAAGACTCTAAATGCATTTGTAAGCTCCCTCAACCCTAAGACATTTTTCTAAAACCTTATACTCACTCTATCTTGGAAAAGGGACAGTCGCCCACACATACACACACACATACTGGACTGCTCATCCCCCTGTGTCCTTGAGAATAATCTTCAAATGTAACTCCATTTTGGGAATTGAGACAAATACAACCCACAGATGTTGACTCAGTTCCTGATGTATTAATTTAGTAACTGAACCAAAGGTCAGGATGGACCACAGATGCTCTCCCTTATCACCTGACCATGCAGCTCCTCTCCTGCCCTGGAATAGACCAAACACTGCTAGTAACCCTTTGAATAAGCCAATCCAGTAAGTTGGAAAACAACCTACAGGTCCCCCCTTGTGTCTGTGGTTTTTCACTTTAAAAGATGGGCTGTAACAGCTATCGATGTCCTTCATATCCCGAACCTGAAGGACCCTTGCTTTTGCATCAATTTGTGGTTATGTGAATGGTGTCTGGAGCAACTCTCCCCTGATGTTTGGACATCTAGTCCAACAACTCATCACAATTTAGGTTTGATTACAGTGCTTTAGACTAAACATTTAAAATGCGGTGGCACACGCCTTAGATCCCAGGACTCAGAAGCAGAGGCAAGTGTCTCTATGAGTTCAAGGCCAGCCTGTTCTATATAGCAAGTTCCATAATAATCAAGGCTACATAAAGAGATTATGTCCCAAAAAAAAGAATGAAATGAAAAGAGAAAAAAATTAAAACCAAAGAGACTGAGAACAGATAATGTGATCCTTAAAAAAAAAATGTAGTTTAAAACTTACAACTTTAATGTAATTTTTTTTCAGTGACACTATCAGGTCAGAATAATGTAATTTTTAAAATAAGTAATCAGACCCAAGCTATCACTCTTAAAATTCAATAATTTTCAGGGCTGTGGAGAACACAAACAATAGCTAAAATACATTGTTTCCCATACTATAAAAGCTACTGTAGCCGGGCGGTGGTGGCGCAAGCCTTTAATCCCAGCACTTGGGAAGCAGAGGCAGGCGGATCTCTGTGAGTTCGAGACCAGCCTGGTCTACAAGAGCTAGTTCCAGGACAGGCTCCAAAACCACAGAGAAACCCTGTCTCGAACCCCCCCCCCCCCAAAAAAAAAGCTACTGTATCAGTTACTTTCTATTGCTGTGATAAAACACCATTACCAAAAGCAACTAAAGAGAGAGAGATTATTTGGGTTTACATTTCCCAAGGGAAGCAAGGCAGCAAGCAGCGGGCATGGTGGCAGAAGCAGGAAATAGACCACATCTTCAGCCACAAGCAGGAAGAAGAAAGAGCAAACTAGAAGTAGGATGAGGCCTTGAACTCTCAAAACCCACCCCTAGTGACAGACATACTTCCTCCAGCAAGGCTGCACCCTTCCCAGCCAGACAGCACCACCAAATGGGTGACAAGTGTTCAAAGGGGCATTTCTCATTCAAACCACCACAGCTACTGTGATGGCTGATCTCAACTGTCATCTTGACAACATCTAGAATCACCACCACGAAAGCAGACCTTTAGGCACGTCTATGAAGACTAATCCAGATTAGGTTAACTGAAAAGGGAAGACCCACCGAATGTAGGAGTACCTCACTGAATACACAGGAAAGAGCAAGCTGTGTGCAAGCATTCGCTGCTTTCTGTGTCTTGAGTGCTGATGCAACATGACCTGGAGCCTGGAATTGTGCACCCTGGAATTGTGCACCAAATAAAATCCTCCATCCTGGGCAGGCATTCTATCACAGCAAAGAGATGACTAACTAATATTGCTGCTATTTATAAAACATTGAACTTTCTACAGTTCTTTCAAAACATTTATTACATACCTACAATTCAATAGCTTTCTGCAGTGTCAGCACTTGGAAGGTGGAGGTAGGAGAAATAGGAATTCAAAGCTGGTCTAAGCTACATAGTAAGTTTGAGGTCAGCCAGGGAGACAAGTGACTCCATTTCAAAATATACATTAATAAATAACCTTCTTGAGGATGAAGAATTCATATTAATTTTTCTAAAATAGGAGTTTGATTTTATATTGTTGTTTGGTGCAGGTAACTGAACATAGAGCTTCATGCATGCATAGCAAGGGCTCAAAGCACTGAGCTACAACCCAACACCCCTCTTCATCATATTTTGTGAAGATGTATTTATCTGTGTGTTTTGGCTGCATGTATGTATGTGTATTGTGTGCATGCCTGGTGTCCAATAAGCCAGAAGGCAGCACTGACCTGTAGCTACTCTGGTGCTGAGAACTGACCTGAGTTTTCTGCAAGTACAATGAGTACTCTTGGTCACTGGGCCATCTCTCTATTCCCTGCTTATCTTTTATTTCAAGGAATTACAGACGGATCTCTAAGATTTCTATCCCTATACAGATGACAGAACTACTCTAACACTTGCCACATCTATTTTATTTAACAGAGAAAGAGACACAAAAACCTGGTTTTTCATATTGTTATTAACAGAATCTAAACAGGTAATAATACCATTTCTGCCAACAATGTGCAAAATAATGACATAATAAAAATTTTAAAGAAGAAGTCTGGAGAGAGGCTCAGTGGCTAAGAGCACTTACTACTCTTATAGAAGATCTGGGTTTGGTTTGAAACAGCAATATCAGGAGGCTCACAACCACTTGTAACTCTAGTCCCAAGGGATCTGACACTCGAACATACATGCATGTGCTCACACAAACACATCAAACAAAAATAACAAATCTTTTTAGTTAAGATCATTTTTATCCTTGACAAGTTCATATATGTGTATCCTATAGTTTGGTTACAGTCGACCACATTCCCTCTCTCACCTTTCCCGGTCCTCTGACTTCCTCCTTCACCGTAACAGGCCCCTCCCACTTTCAGTCTTTAATTAAGTTTAATCAGTGTTGCTTGCATATGCGTAGGTATGAGGTTATTTGCTGTATCATGGGAACTTACAAATGGCTAACTCTAAAATTAGTTACTTTTTGTGACAAACTTTTCTGTAGTCCAGGCTGGGCTTGCACTCACTAAGTAACAGAGGATAGCCTTGAACTCTGAACTTCTTCCTCTGCATTGTAAGTGCTGAGATTTCAGGTGTCACCACACTTGTTTTATGTGGTGCTAAGGATCAAACCCAGAGCTACAAGCATGGTAGGCAAGCGCTCTACCAGTTGATCTATGTCATCAGCCCTCAGTTGTTTTTTTTTTAATTGATTTTTATTGAGCTCTACATTTTTCTCTGCTCCCTCCCTGCCTCTCCCCTCCCCCTGCCAGCCCTCAGTTTTATATTCTAAATTGTACACATGGATTCTGTGATCTGCTTATGCCTTCTATTTTAGAAAAGTCAAGTAATTTTTGGAGACTTTACCTGCCCAGCCAAAGATCCACAGGCACCCGCTGCTCCACTGACAACCATTGTCTGATTGGATCCAGCAGATATGTGACCTTTCTCCTGTACCCCAATCAAGGAAGTCAGACCAGGCATACCTATAGCTCCAAGAAAATATGAAAGATGTCCATCCACAAGTTGTGGGTCTACCTGAAATAAAAGATGTACATTTTAGCCAGGCGACGGTGACGCACACCTTTAATCCCTGCACTTGGGAGGCAGGGGCAAGTGGATCTCTGTGAGTTCAAGGCCAGCCTGGTCTACAGGACAGGCTTCAAAGCTATAGAGAAACCCTGTCTCGAACCCCCCCCCCAAAAAAAGTCCATTTTAAGCAATACTGAAATCACAGTTTTAAGCCAAGAAGTCAGAGCTAAAGAATGACTAGTGTCCACACCCAACTCCCTCTGTCAGATCTCTATGCCCTCCCTGTAAGTATACTGCATCAAGACCTTTAAGGTGATACTAAGTGAGGTCAGAGAGTTGGGGACCTAATCCAATGTTAGTCCCTCCCTCACAAAGTAATATGAATGTAGACATGAGAATAAAGGAAGAAAACTCAGAAAGTTTTATATTATACTTCACCTTTTCAAGGCCATTCCCATCTAGAATGGCTTTGGTTTGCCAGGGCCAATAAAAAGAAGTCACAAAATCGCCTTTAGCCAAATGTATGTGCTTGCTCTCTTCCACAACTCCAATACCGCCACCGTCAACCACCTGAGACAGCTGCCAGGGCGCTAAGTAATCAGTGCCAGTGTCCTCGTTCATCTTACAGCGCTGGGGAGAAGAAGGCCTTCATTAAGGGACGCTCAATTTACCCAGTGAAAGAAAAGCAGGTAAGCCTCTCTTGCGCTATACCCCCCCTTTTTTTTACTCTGCAAAAATTGGGGAAACCATATACCTAGCTCTTACCAGTAAAGAAGCCTAACTGAAAATAAATAAATAAATTTAGATCTGTTCTAAATTAGAGTATGGTAATCAAGACAGTGTGGTGCTGGCATAAAAAAGCACATCGGTAAGACCTTTGAGACAGTTAGCAGGAAAGGCACTTGTCACCAAGCCTGTCTGACAACCTGAGTTCAGTCTCCAGGATCCACATGATGGAAGGAGGAAAGAACCAACCATCAGTGTCCTCTGTCCTCCACCTGTGAGCCCTGGCAGTCATGTATGTGCACATGCAAGTATGCACAAAAACACAGATTCATAAATGTCATCTTTAAAATTTTTAAAATGAGTGGAATTCATTAAGGAAACCACCTAGGGCCCATCTTTTCCTTCTGAAAGTTTTAAAGATTCATTGTTGGGTGTGTATCTGCAACCTCAGCACTCGTGGGGGGGCGAGGGGCGGAGCCAAGTGGATCCTGGATGCTTGCTTATCAGCCAGTCACCCCGAGTTTGATCCCTGAACCCACATGAAGGTGGGAGGAGAGAACTGGCTGCACAGCTGTACTCTGGTCTCCACATGTAAACAGAACACATAGGGTGGGCCTGGAGAGACAGTTCAGTGGGTATAATTAATACAATTGTTTACAGACTCAAAGATGGAAGGGGAGATGACCCTTATTTTGTAAGGCTGGTGGGATGGCTCAGCAGGTGAAGGTGCTTGCTACCAAGTCTAGCAACCTAAGGTTGGTCCCCAGGATTCAAATGGTAAAAGGAGAGAACAGACTCTTTCTTTTTTTTTTTAATATTTATTTATTTATTATGTTTACAATATTCTGTCTGTGTGTATGTCTGCAGCCCAGAAGAGGGCACCAGACCTCATTACAGGTGGTTGTGAGCCACCATGTGGTTGCCGGGAATTGAACTCAGGACCTTTGGAAGAGCAGGCAATGCTCTTAACCTCTGAGCCATCTCTCCAGCCCCCCGAGAACAGACTCTTTCAAGTTGTCCTCTGGCCAACTCACACACACACACACACACACACACACACACACAAATAAAACATTTTAAGCTGGGCAGTGGTGGCGGCACACGCCTTTAGTCCCAGCACTCAGGAGGCAGAGGCAGGTGGAGATCTGTGAGTTCGAGGCCAGCCTGGTCTACAAAATGAGTTCCAGGACAGCCAGAGTTAAAGAGTAAAATCCTGTCTTGAAAAACCAACCCCCCCCCCAAAAAAAACCAACTGACAAAAAAGTACCAAACAAACAAACCTTTCAACTACAACAAAAACAAACAAAAACAGAATTGGAAGATTCATGCTTGCTACTTTCCAAAGTCACTGTAGTCATAATAATCAAGGTAACAAGGCACATTTGAATAAATACACATATTAAAGGAATAAGGTTTGAATCTAGAAGTAAATGCTCTAATGGTCAACTGATTTACGATTTATTTATTTTTTAGTCTCACTGTAATTCAGGCTAGCATCAAACCTGCAGTGACCTTCCTGCCTCAGCTTTCCCAGTGCTGGGGTGCACGTGTGAGACACCCCCCCCCCAGTTCACAGTCAGCTTTCCCAGTGCTGGGGTGCACATGTGAGACCCCCCAAGCTCAAAGTCAGCTTTTCCAGTGCTGGGGTGCACGTGTGAGACACTCCCCCCCAGCTCACAGTCAGCTTTCCCAGTGCTGGGGTGCATGTGTGAGACCCCCCAGCTCACAGTCAGCTTTCCCAGTGCTGGGGTGCACGTGTGAGACCCCCCAGCTCACAGTCAGCTTTCCTAGTGCTGGGGTGCACGTGTGAGACCCCCCCAGCTCACAGTCAGCTTTCCCAGTGCTGGGGTGCACGTGTGAGACCCCCCTCCCAGCTCACAGCAGATTTTCAACAAAGGTATCAGGAGCAGAGTGCAGTCTTTTCAACAAACGACACCTACACAACTGTATAGTGCAATATTATTTGTTTTTTGTTTTTTTTTTCGAGACAGGGTTTCTCTGTGGTTTTGGAGCCTGTCCTGGAACTAGCTCTTGTAGACCAGGCTGGCCTCAAATTCAGAGATCCGCCTGCCTCTGCCTCCCGAGTGCTGGGATTAAAGGCGTGCGCCACCACCGCCCAGTTTATTATTTGTGTTTTAATAAATAAAGGCTGCTTGAAGATCAGTGCAAAGCAGCCAGACTAGCCAGCGATACAGGCCAGGCAGTGGTAGTCACACCTTTAATCCCAGCAGCCACACTAGTCAGCCATGGAGCGCAGGTGGTGGTGGCTCACACCTTTAATCCCAGCACTAGAGAGGAATATAAGGCAGGATGAGACAGGAACTCACTCTCTTTCAGTCTGAGGATTTCATAGCAGTAAGAGCTCTCTAGTGGCTTGGCTGTGTTGATTTTCTGATCTTCAGGGTGGACCCCAATACCTGTCTCTGGGTTTTTATTGTTCATGCTACATAACTGTGTATTCACCAAAAGACCGAAGCTGAACCCTGTGATGATTTATTCATCTGGGATGTCAGTGGGGTTGTAATTCAATATGCTTACCTAACATCACCTGGAATATGGAAGCATCCGCTCCTTCTCTGGAGTGGACGTCTTTGCTCTGCCCTTAGACTTCAGAGCTGTTCTTTGGCCTTTGGTCTCTGGGACTCACATTCCCAACGGACAAGTGTAGCAGGCTCCAGGCCTTTGACCTCGGAGTAAGACTTTCATTATATGTTCCCCTGGTTCTCAAGTCTCCTTCAGACTTGGACTGAGCCAAGGCCTCCCTGGTTTTCTAGTGGACTTTTCAGTCTCCATAATTGTGTTAGCTATATCTAGAAAACAAAGACTATATAACTCAATAATACAGATCATTTTTTAAATTTTCCATGAAATGAGACATTTTTCTGTTCTTTAATCAAATTTATTGTTATTTTTTAATGTGAATGAATGTTTTTCCTGCACCAAGTGTATATCTGATGGCCAAAAAGTTCAGAAGAGGGACTTGGACCCCTATAATTAAAGTTACAGACAGCTGTGAGATACCATGTGGGTACTGGGAATAGAACCTGGGTCCTCTGCGAGAACAGTAATTGCTGTGAACCATCTCTTCAGCCCCAAATAATTCAAGTTTAAGATGTTTGTGTACTCTAGGTAGGTATTTCTTCAAAGACATACAAGTGGCTAAAAACCACATGGAAATATGCTCAAAATTAATCGTTAAGAAAAATGGAAAACAACCCACAATGAGATACTTCTTCACACCAAGTATTATGTCTATAAGTGTTAGTGAGTGTTAAGATGGGCATGGTGGCACATGTCTTTAATCTCAGCACTTGGGAGGCAGAAGCAGGTGGATCTCTTGAGTTCAAGAGAACTAGAGGACTATACTGAGAAACCCTGTTTCAAGAGACCAGGAAAAAAAAGACATCATTTCTCAAATAAACACAATAAAATTCTGATGCAACAACACTAAAACATAAGAGCAGAATTATTTTCATCAATTACAACACCCCGCTTCTTACCATGTAAGGATCCACAGAGAGGTAGAGAGTTCTAACCTGAACTTGTCCTTCACTGATATTATCTGCTAACCTGACTTCTTCCATCCTGAAGTTCTCTGCCACTGGATTTCCATTTTTCCCTAGATTTTCAAGCAAAAATATGAAGTTAAAACATTGCTTTTTTCCCCCCTAGATCGTCCAACTCAGAGAGATCTACTTGCCTCTGCATCCCATGCTGGGACTAAAGGTGCACAGCGCCATGCCTGGGAAAAGTTACTTTCTCATAACATTTTCTAAAGTTACCCTAGGATTTAAAGTGCTCCCTTCTAATTCAAACAAGGGTAACTCGGGATAAATTTTCAAATAGTTCCCATCACTCTTGAATTTAAGTTCAGAAATACTCTTGCAAACTAATTTTGTTTTTAAAAAATGATTATAGAGCCGGGCGATGGTGGCGCACGCCTTTAATCCCAGCACTCGGGAGGCAGAGGTAGGCGGATCTCTGTGAGTTCGAGACCAGCCTGGTCTACAGAGCTAGTTCCAGGACAGGCTCCAAAGCCACAGAGAAACCCTGTCTCGAAAAACCAAAAAAAAAAAAAAAAAAAAAAATGATTATAGGTATATAATATATGCTGTTTCAAAGTAGGAAGACTCTGAAAATGAAAAATCCCACTCTCTTGTGTAGCTGGGTGGTGGTGCACGCTTTTAATCTCAGCACTCAGAAGGCAGAGGCTATGGAGTCTGAATTTGAGGCCAGCCTGGTGAGTTCCAGGCCATCCAGGGCTACACAGTGAGACCTCTTTAAAAAGTGGGAGGAAGTGAGGACAGAACGCTGGGAGCTAAGGGTGGGACACAGGATGACTGGAGAGATGGCTCCGTAGTTAAGAGCATCTGCTGATCTTCCAGAGGTCTGGGGTCTGATTCCCAACACCCACACAGTTGCTAACACGCATCTGGAACTCCAGTCCCAGGGTATCCAATGCCCTCTTCTGGCCTCCATGGGCACTGCATGCACAGGGTGCATAGGTACACATGGGAGCAAAACCTCAAAAAAAATTGAACTCAACTTTTAATTATGGAGTTAAAATTTATAAAGTAATAGAAAAGCCAAAAAAAGTTAAGTAATCTTTCCATCTTCATTTTAAGACGAACGGCTTACATGAACATTTACTATTTTGCTTTTAAAGTCTTAAAGATAAGGTAACTAGAAAACTTGAGGTATAAGAAAAATGCTTAAAGTCAGGCAGTGGTGCACACCTTTAATCCCAGCATTCAGGGAGGCAGAGGCAGGTGAATCGTTGTGAGTTCAAGGCCAGCCTGGTCTATAGAGTGAGTTCCAAGACAGCCAGGACTGTTACACAGAGAAACCATGTCTCAAAAAACTAACCAACCAAACCAACCAACCAAATAAATAAAATGTTTAAACAGACACTAACATCACCGAAGTGTATTCATTGAATTATGTTTAACAAGAGCAAACTTCTTTTCAAGAACCATCAGATTTCCAAGATGGGATCCAATGTAAAGGTCTAACTATTCACTATACTAAAACCAAGGGCAGAAAACATGGTGAGCGGGCAACAAGACAGGACTACAAAAAAGTGGGCCCACACTTGGATTGCTGCCACACCTAATTTTCTATGACCCAGGGAGATGTCAGTATTGACAGAAGATGGTGTATGTCTCGTAAAACAGAAAAGCCAATGTAAATAATCAGTCACACCAACCACAAGGAAAAATCCAAAATTAGACACTTTCAATATAACTTTCCGTGATTCAAATGGCCTTGAAAAGTTAACATCTGGGGCTGGAGAGATGGCTCAGAGACTGAGTGCTGACTGCTCTTCCAGAGGACCCAGGTTCAATTCCCAGCACCCACATGGCAGCTGATCACTGTCTGTGACTCCAGTTCCAGGGAATCTGACAACTTCATACCAAATACATATAAAATAAAGTTAAATAAGTATTTAAAAAAGGAGAAAAGTTGACATCTGAAAACGGAATATGACATAAAGTATCTAAGTAAATGTATCTAACACATTTACTAGTCTTTTTCTTTCTTTTCTTTTTTTATTTATTTTTTGAGATAAGGTTTCTCTGTGTAGCACTGGCTGTCCTGAAACTCACTCTAACCTCAAACTTAAAGATCTGAAATTTACTAATCTTAATTTACTTTACTACCTTAGTTTACCACATGGATATCATGTCAATTTTTATTCTTCTATTTCCAGGAATGATTACAGAGACCAGGACTGCTCATTTGTCACAGACGATACATACCAGGTCGGGAGTTCAATACTACTCTCTGTACAATCATCGCTCTATCTGTGCAGGAGCCTCACAAGACTTCTGTAGGAAATAAATCCTGTAATTATAAAAAAAATCGTTAGATATGAAGTATTTAATTAAAAAAATTTTCAACTCTTGAGTTCAAAGTCAGCCTAGTCCATAAAGCACGTTCCAGGATAACTAGGGCTGTTACACAGAGAAACTCTGTCTTGGAAAACCAAGGAAAGAAAAATCTAAAACTCCATTTGTGCTTCTGAATGGAGAGAAAAGGTCATATTTAGAATCTAAAAAGAGCTAGAGAGAGTGCTCAGTGGTTAAGAGCATTGGCTGCTCTCAGTTTCCAGCACCCACAGGGCAGCTCACAACGCCAGTGCTGGGGATCTGTCACCCTCTTCTCTCTCAGGCACCACATGCATGTGGTGTACAGACATACACAAAGGCAAAACACCAATACCCATGAACTAAAAAGAGCAGAATCTAAAAAACCATATAATACTCTCCTGTCAGTTTGCTTCCTAATGTAAACATATGGAGAAAATAGTAACTAAGTCCAATCAGAATTCTTAGCTAATAGGATCAAGTTCATCATGTGTCATGGATAATTCTGAGACATTTGTCTTCACACCGTCAGGATTAAGCATTCTACTAAGGCTTGATTAAAAACAAACATACAACAATAGCCCCAATTCACATTCCTCCAGAATCAGGCAGTTAGTCAAGCTATAAATGAAAAACACTAGCCGAGGACTGGAAAAACAACTCAGCAGTAAAGCACTTGTCCAACATGTACAACCAGGATGGGATCCCAAATATCAGAAAACAGACTAAAAACTTAACCGCTTGGCCAGCAAGATGCCTCCATGTACCAGAAAAGGCTCCTGATGCCAAGCTTACTGACCTGAGTTTATCTCCAGGATCCACATGACTTCCAGAAGTTACCCTTTGATCTCCACATGTGCCGTGCCATACACACAGCCCTGATACCCACACAAAATAAATTTAAAAAAATTTAAACTGTTTAGCTGGACATGATGGTGCACAACTTTAATCCCAGTACTCGGGAGGCAAAGGCAGGTGAATTTCTGGATTCGAGACCAGCCTGGTCTACAGAGTGAGTTCTGTAGACAAGGCTACACAGAGAAACTCTGTCTCAAAAAGCCAACAACAACAACAACAAAACTCTCTTCAACTGTAATACAACCAATTTTTCAAAGGTTCTTTCGTGTTTGTGTTCTGAGTGTGTATGCCAGGGTGTCCCAGAGACCCACCTTCTCAGTGACAGAATTACTAACAAGCTTTCTTTTTTTTAAATATTTATTTATTATTTATTATGTATACAATATTCTGTCTGTGTGTATGCTTGCAGGCCAGAAGAGGGCACCAGACCTCATTACAGATGGTTGTGAGCCACCATGTGGTTGCTGGGAATTGAACTCAGGACCTTTGGAAGAGCAGGCAATGCTCTTAACCGCTGAGCCATCTCTCCAGCCCCCAACAAGCTTTCTTTTTCTCGGGGGTTTGAGCTTATTTTGTTGTTTTACATTCTTGTTTTGGTGGGAGTGGGGCACGTATACTGTGGTGTGCATGTGGTGGTTCACGTATACTGTGGTGTGCATGTGGTGGAGCACGTATACTGTGGTGTACATGTATGTGGTGGTTCACGGAGACTGTGGTGTGCATGTGATGGAGCATGTATACTGTGATGTACATGTATGTGGTGGTTAATGACCTTCTGCAAGAGTCAGTTCTCTTCTTCCGCCAGAACGTGAAGACTGGAGAGATGGCTCGGCTGTGAAGAGCACTTGCTGCTCTTGCACAGGACATGGGTTCCCTTAACACCCACACAATGCCTCACAACTATTTCTAACCCCAGTTCCAGAGCACCCAGTACCCTCTTCTGGCTCCCTGGGCACTAGACATGCACTTGATGCACATGCAAACACTCATACATAAAATACATGTAAAAAATGACATGTTTAGGACTGGAGGTACAGCTTAGTGGTAGAGCACTTGCCTGGCATGTATGAGGTCCTAGCTTGAAACCTAGGATCAAAGGGAAAAAACTAAATGTCTGGTGTTGGTAACATTCAGTAAGGTCGGATGATGAATGCAGAAACACATCCTACTCTTTTAAACTCTCTAATGTACATACTGATAATCTCACTAGTGATGGCAGAAATGGCTAGCTGATCTCAAACTCATTCTTTCCTTTGGGATACTCTTCATCAGAATAAAATACTTTCCGGCTTTCCTTTAAAGCAAATCCCATTATCATCCTGTTTCACTCAAATATCCTTCAGTTAAGTTTCTGTACAACATAAATACTGTGCCATTAGTGACAGAATCAGCAGCACAGGTAGCCTCCTGCCCCTAACATCCAGTGCTCAAACAGCCCAGACACTGGCAGCTGATGGCCAGCGTCAGCACTCAGGTTCACACATTGCAGCAGGGGCTCTCTTTCCTTTCTATTGCATGCCGTTGCTTTGTTTCGTCACTTTTGTCTGTAAAGTCCTGACTGTTCCTCACTGTGACTTTTTCTTCTATCTTCTTGTCCTATTTGACAGTGATAGGTAGATTAGGTAGATTTAGAGGATAATGAGATTCAATTTCTCTTTCTTCACCCCACCCCCCACTAGGGATCCTGGCATGCAGGAGGCCAGATTCTTTTTTTGGGGGGGGGGGCAGGAATCTTTTGTTGTTTTGTTTTTCGAGACAGGATTTCTCTGTAACTTTGGAGCCTGTCCTGGAACTCACACTGTAGATCAGGTTGGCCTCTGCCTCCCGAGTGCTGGGATTGAAGGCGTGCGCCACCACCGCCCGGCACAGGACAGGAATCTATGCGGTGCTGTCTATCTTACCTCACCATGTCATTTAGTCCGTGGGAGACTTTTCTTTTTGAGATGGGGCTGCTGGGTGTTCACATTCCCGAGTTGGGGTTCAGGGCTTCCCTGGCCTTATCGTCTTAACTGGCTGCAACTACAAGTACATTTCATCACATCCTGCCGGGCACATTTCCTATGGAACTGCCATGTATAGAAGTCACATAAAAATTAAAAGGCGAGTTTATTCCAATGCAGTTGGTCAGACTGTCCTGTGATGGCTGAATTTTCAAAGGACCAGTTCCAATTGCCTCAGTCTCTTTCCTGTGGCTGTGAGGAAATACCCTGACAGAGGCAACTTCAGGGAGAACAGGTTTGTTCTGGCTCACGGTTCAAGGGTACAGTCCACCGTGGAGAAGTCACAGCAGGTGATGGAGGCAGGGTCACAAGACACCCCAAGAACCAGAGACAGTGGATGCTGGTGTCCAACTAGCTTTGTTCTTTTTATTCAATCCAGGACCCAATCAGAGGAAACAGTGCCAATCTGAGGGTGAGTCGACCTCCCTCAATTAACCTAAAGTCAAGCTAAGTCCTCGCAGGTGTGCCCTGAAGCTTGTCTCCTCAGTGGTTCTGATCCCGACGATCAGTGTTAACCGTCAGACAGTGAAATTTCGTATTTGTTTACTTTCAGCCTTGTTTTATTTCCCTAAAATAATAGAGCCAACAGTGATGCCTACCACTTGTGATCCCAAGAAGGTAGAGGCCAGGGAACTGAGTTCAAAGTCAGCCTCAGATACATAACAAAATTCCAGGCCAGCCTGGGCTACAAGAGACTTTGTCTCAAAAAAACAACATAATATGGCTAACAGGGTACTATATGCCTGTAATACCAGAACTCCAGAGGCTGAGGCCTAAGGATCTCAAGTTGAAGGCCACCTAGATTACAGGAGAGATCCTATCTACAAAAGAAAAATCTATGGCTTGACTACACATGTAGCTCAGTGGTGAAGCTCCCCGAAGACAAGCAAAGCATTCAAAGACATGACTATGATATGACAGGCCTGCATAAACATGGCTCGTCATCATGACAGGTGCCATTGCGGGTCCTTCTGTTTTAAATCAGAAATCTTCACCCGCCAAATATAACTGATTAGTGAAGGACAACCAAACTCTTGACAGCTTAACAATCAACCTTGATTTACTCACAAAATTTCCACCTAGAATACGACAGGCCAAATTCAAGATCAGAAGGGCAGTGGGGAAGAGCCATGGCAGAGCCGGTGGAGGTGGGTGGGGGTAAGCCTCAGCAATCCCATTTGCCTGTTAAATTAAGTGGGTTTGTAACTGGTGTTACTGTTCTAAAATAATACCACCGAAAGATCTGCTTAGTCATAGAAAAAAACCCTCTTGAGCGCCCAGCTCACTGAGCAGAGAACATGTTGTTTCTAGCCAGGTGGGACCTCTTGGTTTAGTTCCTAATGTTTTCAGGTGCCCAAAAACTGGGTGAGTGAGTTTTGCTTCCCCTAAGCATGATATAGTATAGCGTACATTTGTAATCCTGGTTATTGGGCAGGACTGGGATGGCAAGTTCAAGGAAGGTCTGAGCAAATTCGTGAGAACCTGTCTCAAAATAAAAATGAAAAACGAACTGGAGATAACAGTCCAGTAGTAAAAAAAAAAACAAACAAAAAAACCCCAAAACATTTGTTTAGCATGCATGGGTGTAGGTGTCCTGGATTCAATCCCCAGTAGAGAAAAAAATGAATTATTAATTAGTTTGCTTAAATTCAACTTCCTACTCAAACACCACCAAGATGAAGTTAAAAATGTCTCCTCTTCCAAGAAGTTATAAGGGGGGGCTGAATGACTTGTCCGTGGTCGCACAACTTGGCACTCACACTTGAACCCATTCTAACACACCATTTCACAACATGAGCTTCCTAACGCGATGCTGCGGAATCGAATCCAGGCCCAACACCTTTTTATAAAAGACGCCTTGGGTTCAGCTGTATCTTGTCCGACCATTCTGCCCCCAGAGGATTCGGCTGGCCTTTCCTCTGCCCTCTCTGCCATCATGTTAGATTCCTACATGGTTCTTCCTTCCCTGGGAAACCCAACCTTCCTCTGTAGCTCCTACTACCAACCACTTTCATAGAAACTGACCAGAATTTCAAGCCGAGTGCCTAGGTCCTCAGCACCAAGAGCTTTTGACAAGATTTAAGTATATCCCTATGCACACAGTAGGTGCTCAATAGATGCTCAAATCTGAGGCCCCTCAGACAATCATGCCCAACCCTGACAACTCTTAAACAGCTGCTTATCGGGCATTCTCTAGTCTAACGTCCCAGGCTATACCGCGGGTGTCGCCAGGAGCTCGGTGAGGAAGCCCGCAGGTCACCCTCGGATCGGAGCTTTCTCCTCCTCTGTGGGTTTCATCCGACTTCCGGCGGGGCGTCCGGATGCAGTGACCCCCCCTGCACGACCGTCCGCTTGAGATCTCGCGAGATTTGGTGACCAGCAAGGCGCCTGCTGGCGGGACGACCCTTGCCCTAGAACCACACTACGCAAGCGCAGGGCTAAACTGGCTCTGCGCTCCCTCCCAGGAAGGGACCTGAATTTTAGACGGAATCTCGGGTCCCCAGGGTCGGGGAGAGGTGGAAGGAACAGCTGGTGTGTTGCTAGTCTAGGCAGGAGTATGCATAAATTAACGCCCGTTGGTGTTCCGCGGCGTTACAGCCTACGAGTTCACGTCAAGTCCCGGGTGTCCTCTTCTCCCCCGGACGGGAACCCACGTCCTGGCACCTCCTAGACAGGCGCGCTGACACTCACAGCCCCAGCCTCTAGAAGGAATTTTACTCGTGGACTCGCTGAGTCTTAGGTTGGGAACTTACAGTGAGGCAGCTGCCATCACGCCTAACCCTTGTTATGTGGTTGGGGAAACTGAGGCCTAGAGGACTGGAGCAGTGGTTCTCACCCTCCCTAACGCTGCCACCCTTTCATGCAGTTCCTCATGTTGTGGTGGCCCCTAACCATAAAATTATTTCGTTGATACTTCATAACTGTAATTTTACTACTGTTATGAATTGTAGTGTAAATATCTGTGTTTTCTGATGGTCTTAGGCGACCTTTAGGGTTGTTGAACCCCAAAGTGGTCACAAGGTTGAGAAACATTGGATTAGTCCCTAGAGAATATGGTTGGATCATCTACCTTTAAGCCAGTTAAGGACAGTGCTGCCCAGAGACCTTTAGTCTTTTTCATACACACACACACACACACACACACACACACACACATTCTCTCTCCCTCCCTCCCTTCCTCTCTATCTCTCCCTCCCTCCACTCCAGACTGCTTAAAAATGGTTTACAGAATGTATATTGATTTCTTAGTGTAATCATTAAGCTTCTCTTCCTAAACTGGGCTGACTTGAGCAAGGCTTGTTTCTAAGATAACTTCGGATCTCCGGGAGCTGCGGACCCTAGCAGACCATTCTGAATGGGGCAGTAGTAGGAAGCTGTTAACACGGTATTCCCCCCCCCCCCCCCCCAGCAAGAGCTAATGGCACAGCACTAACTCTGGTATAGAGTAGCTGAAACCTGGCAGTTGTGGCAAATGCCGTTAATTCCAGCACTCGGGAGGTAAAGGCAGGCGGATCTCTGTGAGCTTGAGGCCAGTCTGGTCTACAGAGAGAGTTCCAGAAAAGCCAAGGCCACACAGAGAAGTCTGTCTCGAAAAACAAAACAAAACAAAACAAAAAAAACCAAAAAAAAAAAAAAAAACCAGAAAAAGAGTAGCTGAAAAATGAGTGCCGACAGCAACTGGGCAGCTACCAAACGAACTAGAGCCTCTGGTAGCAGTGCATCCAAACATTTTCACCTCGTTTGAAAAACCTCAGGAAAGGGTGAGGAGGATGTTATCACTGTGGAAACGTCTTCCGGCAGGAACTGCTCTCTTAGTGGTCAGATGAGCGAACCGGAGGAAAAGGAGATGCTCCGATAGACTAAAACAGATGGGAGAGAAAGAGGTAGTCTATCGCTTATGTCTAAAACTCCAGGAGAAGAAACTTGGGTGGGGCTGTCTTGATATGAAGGCCCCCTTTCTCCCTCGAGTGAGTTCGGGTCCCCTAAGTTCAAAAGGTGAATGGAGGACTGCAGGTGTGTTTTCGTCAGCATTTCTCACTCAACACTGAAAAACAACTGTGGTGTGTGCTGTGTCCCTCAAACATTACTAACAAACAAACATTTAATCTGATGTGTTTATATATTCACTAAATTAAAATGACTTCATTTGACTTCCTGTGTAGTCATCTCCTTCAGATTGCAAATTCCCCCGAAGGAACAACCAAGTGTGCCCAACCTGCTTAATACGTAGCGCTCCATGCATCAGACATGATTTCATGCTAAATAAATACATTTTCATGGAAGTGGTAATTGTTCCATAATGTGAATGCAAACATATGTTCTAAAACAATAGCACACTCATGCAGGGACAAAACCACACCTGCCTCTCCCGCGGTCTGTAATGCAGTGAAGGTCTATGTTGTTGCTGGCTTTGCTTATCTCAGTCTCCCAGCACCTTTTGATTAGTCCTGGTCTAGAAGGTGCTTGATAGATGCCAGTTGTAGAATATTCGTAAGATTTTGTCCAAAAGTCACATGCTTCTAGCTGGTAGGAAATGGTCCAGTGGTTAGAGTACTTTGCATGTAACTGTAAGGTCCAGCGTTCAGATCCCCAGAACTCACAGAAGTGCCAGCGAGGCCCAGCAGGCAAAGACAGAGGATCCCCAGAGCAAAGTGGCTATGAAAACTTTTAAGATTGGTTGAGAGACCCTCTCTCAATGAGTCAGGTTAAAAGGCATTTTAGGACAATTCCTAGCATCAACCTTGGGCCACCAACGCACATATGTGCCCACGCCAAAAGAAAAAAGACAAGTAGGAAAAGGGGGGAAATACATGTGTATGCATGCATGTGTGTGAGAGCGTGTGCATGTGTGTGTGCGTGTGCGTGTGTGTGCGTGTGCTAGAAAACTAAGCATGATGGCACACACTGTAGCCCTCGCCTTCTGGAAGCCGAAGCAGGACGATTGCAAGTTTGAGACAATTTAGAGCTGTCAAATGAGACCCTGTCCCTAAGAACAGAGAATACTAAAGTAATATGTTTAATTTTTTTTAATGGACATGTAATTCACTGTAGGCTGAGACTGCTCATTCATTTCTCAGCTGCCCAGACCCAAATAATCACACGGAAAATATATTAATTACAACACTCCTTATGCATATTCCTAGCTATCTCTTACATCTTAAATTAACCCATTTCTATGATTATGAGGCTATGCCTGGGTAAAGTTCCAGCATTGGTCCCCTTTGCCAACTACATGGCATCTCTCTGACTCCACCTGCTCTCTCTCTCTCTATGTCTCTGTTTGGATTTCTTGCCTGGCATTACTCTGCTAAGCCATTGGCCGAAACAGCTTTATTCATCAACCAATAAAAGCAACACATATACAGAAGGGCATCCCACATCGATTCACATATCAAAATCTAACATTATTTTATACGTTTGAGTGTCTTGCTTGCTTGTATGTATGTACACCAAATGCATACATGATGCCCTTGAATGTCAGAAGAGGGCATTGGATTCCCTAAAAATAGAGTAACGAATGATTATGAACCACCAGGTGGGTGCTGGGAAACAAACCCAGGTCCTCTACAAGAGTAATAGGTGCTTCTTACTGCTGAGCATCTCTCCAGCACAAATTCTAAACCAGGCAATGGTAGCATATGCCTTTAATCCCAGCACTTGGGAGGCAGAGGCAGGCGGACCTCTGTGATCTCTGTGAGGCCAGCCTGGTCTATGGAATGAGATCCAGGAAGGCTCCAAAGCAACACAGAGAAACCTGTCTTGAAAAACAAAGCAAATCAAAAAAGACAAAAACCAAATTTTGCTTATTATACAATCTAGCAGTTTTTAGAATATTTAAAATGTGTGTCACTATCCACATTTTCTGATCGTATAATTATTTTTTATCACTCTCTACCTATTAACAAGTACCTTTTCCAGCTCCTGGCAACCACCAATCTCCTTTTTGCCTGCATGGATTTGCTTTATACATTATCATAAATTATTATTATTATTATTAAAGAGTATATGCCGGGCGGTGGTGGCACACACCTTTAATCCCAGTACTTGGGAGGCAGAGACAGGCGGATCTCTGTGAGTTTGAGGCCAGATTGGTTTACAAGAGCTAGTCCCAGGACAGGCTCCAAAGCCACAGAGATACCCTGTATCAAAAAAACCAAAAAAAAAAAATTAACCCATTTTCATTTTTTTAAAATATATTTTACCATGAGGCTTGTGGCCTACTGGCAAGGTTCTAGCTGACAGCTCGCGTCTCTCCTCTCTGGTAGATCCATGGTGTCTCTCGACTCTGCCTTCTTTCTCCCAGCATTCAGTTTATTCCCCCCGACACACACCCTGCTTATCTCTACTCTGTCCTATCACAGGCCAACACAGCTTCCTTATTCATTAACCAATAAAAGCAACACATAGACAGAAGGACTTCCCACACCAAACCCTATCTCAAAAAAACAAAAACAAAACAAATCAACTTTTATTACTCAGAATTGAGTCAGGAATCCAGGCTCACTGTTAGTTGGATACCCCCATTAAAGGTCTCTGCAGTCAAACTGCCAACTAAGCTGTGGTCTTGTAAAAAGACACAGAAAGATCTGCTCCCAGGCTTTCTGACCTGACCTTCTATTCAGGAGCTGTTAGATTAACTGAAGGTCCAGTTTCCTGGTGACGAGCATCCTCTCTCAGCTCCACATGCACCTTCTCCATAAGACTCTGTTAGGCTCACGAGCGAGCCAGCCCCTGACTAAAACCATGCATATAGCTGCTGCTTCCCCACATCAAGTGGGAGGGGGGTGGAGGAAGGGAGAACATGGCAGGATGGATGCCTCTGACTTGTGTGAGCGCACCTGTGTGCTGAGGACTGAACCATTGCATGCGCCACTCATGTCCTCTATGTCTGAACTACTTTGCCAGTCTTTCTTCTGACATTAAAGGAATTTTATAATGTGTGATGATGTTCCATTTCCCCCACTTACTTTCTTAAATCGGACCTCAAATAAAAACCTTTTAGAATCAATATCATATAGGTGTAGCCACAGCGTCAACAGGGCTTGGGCAGCGTGCCAATCCACTACCACTGTAGCCTAAGGCAGTAGATCCAGCACCTTGACCTCCTTTTTGCTGGCCTGCCTGTGAGACGTCACTTTGGCTGGCAGTTACCGAGTTTGGACATTGCCCTTACTTCTATGTTGTACTTCCTTCAACTGCAGAAGAGCTGCCTATTACTTTTGTTTTTGTTTTTGACACAAGGTTTCTTTGTGTAGCCCTGGCTGTCCCAGAACTCATTGTGTAGACCAGGCTGGCCTTGAACTCAAAAAT